GTTGGATGGATACTTTTGCAGCATTTCAATAAACTTTATTGATTCGGGACTAATAGACCAAAGAAGCCCCTCCTGGATCCTCCCGCTGACAAAATCTGGAGCAGTTGCCCAGCTTCTCTTTCGTTTTCAAATCTCAACTGAACAAACTGAAGAGAGAAGCTGAATGGTTGCCATGGGTAACTGCTGCAGTTTTGATACATTTCCCCCCAATGTGCCCGCCTCCTGGTCCCTCCCACTGACACAATGTCCCCGCCTCCTGGGCTTGGATGTAAAAGTCTAAAGTCTTTATAATTGGTGAAAGGTGTTACAGGGAGGATCCAGGAGGAGCTTCTTTTGGTCTGTCAGTCCCGGATCAATAAAGTTTTATTGAAGAGTGTCCTCGGTTTAACTTCATGGACTGTATAAGTTGCAGAGTTTGGTTGGGCCCCCGTAGCGGCGCTTGCATCTTGTGAGTGGAAGTTTTGGAGTGAACCCCCCCTATCCCACCCAGCTGAAAAAGACAATCGGGGTCCCTAGATCTCCAGAAATGTCGGCCTGCGGTCGGTGTATAATCCATGATGTGTTTTCTCCTCGCAGCGCTCCATGTGTGCCATCGCTTCCCTGATGACCTCTGACCTGCTGTCACATGACCACATGTTGGCCGTAGTGAGGAGCAACCTGCAGAAGCTGAGCGGAGGACCCGCGGGCCCGGTGATGGACAAGGCCAGGAAGGTGAAGCTTAATTTCCTGTTTGAGTGTTCTTCTGTTGTCGGAACTTTATTGTAACTGGTAGAATACGGCCTGGCCACTGAGAGCGCGGGAAACGTCAGATATAGGAAGCAGGATGATATGTTCATAGCTCAGCCAGGGAGCAGTGGCATGGTCATGTGTTCATAGTTCAGAATCTGAAAAGTCCTGGCCTTCTAGAACCCCATGGGAACTAAAGGTGGTGGCCTCTACCCGTGAATCATTTGTCTGTTCCCTAGCAGACCAGTCAGCTGACAAACTGCAGGTGGTGGCATCTACACTGTGTCTGTTCCCTAGCAGGCCAGTCAGCTGACAAACTGCAGGTGGTGGCATCTACCCTGTGAATCTTGTATATAACGTGCCCATGCTTTTGCTCCCTGTGTCCCGATGGAGGAACTGGTTCTGGTGATAAATTAGCCAGGACGCTGGTCAGTTTCAGTGGACCTGATACCTTGCACATCATCCAGCCTCCCTCGTCCTTGTACCCTGTACCCTGACCTGTGACAGTGGTGAGTTTGCCGCCGCATCTCAGGACCAGGAAGCGCAATGCAGGACATTTTGGTTTTTGGGTGTAGATGCACAGAGTGGGGGAGGGGACTCGCAGGAAGTCGCTCTCACGTCCCGTGAACTAATTGTCACTTCTTTGCAGATCCTGCTCCAGTTTGAAGCCCTCACCGGACATTCTCCTAAAGGCGGAGCTTCACGGCGCTCACTACTACCGGCCCTGCCCCAGCTGGGCCCCCTGGACCTTTTAAATGACATTGTACCCCAATCAGAGGCGGAGACTCTGCTGGCCCCATCCAGTGCCCCCCCTTCCCCCTTTCCAGAACTGGGCGCCCTCACCCCTGCTCACGACGATTGTGGCGCATCGGTGCCGGAGGAAGGCCAAGTTACGGACTCGGAGACATCGGCCCCTGGTGAACATCCCGGGCCCCGGCATTACCCAGACGCGCCTTCCCCGAACGCCACGGGGGGCCCTTTGTCGCTGTTTGACGGGATGGATTTGGTGACGCAAGTGAGGAGCAGCGTGAAAGCCAAACAAGCGTTCGAGGCGCCCGTCACCAAACTTCACACGGACTCCGTGACGCAGCAAAGAACTGGCCAGCCGTGCCTGTCATAAAAGATCGCTTATTCATCCAGTGCACGGGGGGCCCAAATGTGTCACTGCTCTTCTGGGTGAATGTTCTTCTATAGGTTCCTTCATACAGAATGAGAGTGAATGGGGGGACAATACCACATGATGGCCACCAGGTGGCGCCGAGGATCCCAGGAAGTAGATACATCTCAGTAACAAGAGATACAATGTAACAATTCCGGAGAACTCTGGAGGGAATCAATGTAACTAGGGATGCTCCGATACCTTTCCCGCTACTACAACTTCCTCTCACCGGCAGCGCCGCGAGGAAAGATGGAGCCGGGAAGCTGGCTCCATGCTGTTTGGCCTGCTCGATGCTGATTACCTCAGCGGCATTCATTACCGTGCCAGTCCCTCTGCCGTCTCCTGTGTGTGCACAGCGCCCCCCGTGATCGGCTCAGCCTGCTACTGCGCATGTGCAGGATTTCTGAATGAGAGCGCCGGGCAGTCTGCGCATGCGCAGTAGCAGGCTGAGGGTCTGATCACATAGGCGCTGTACACATAGGAGACATGGGCAGATTCGGGAGAAAGAGCCGTCTTCCCTGGCTTCCTGATTGCCCGGGAAGACGGCTCTATGCTACCGGTATCGGTACTCGGTATCGACGAGTACCGAAATATAAGTATCGGCACTCGTACTCGATACCGAAAAAAACTTTATCTGTGCATCCCTAAATTTAACCATTGACACTACAGGGACAGCGACGCTCACATCGATAGGCTGATTCCCTCCGGAGATCTCTGGAATTGTTACATTGTATCTCTTGTTACTGAGATGTATCTACTTCCTGGTGGGATCCTCGGCGCCACCTGGTGGCCATCAGGTGGTATTGTCCCCCCATTCACTCTCATTCTGTATGAAAGAACCTATAGAAGAACATTCGGCCAGAAGAGAAATGACAATAACATTCGATTTTTGCGCCATTCCGACAACAGCGTGGTCACTCGCACAGAACGAACGTGGCTGCAGTTTCACCGGGTGAATCAGCTGTGGTGAATCTTTTTATAAATAGACCCCATTGTGTCTATCCGGAGAATGACGGCGAGTCTGTTTTATGAACAAGTACAACCATTTGGGGGCCCCGGCACCCCCGGACTGTACCCCAGGAGGACACGGAGCACGGGTACCCGAGGTGCACCGAGTATTTCTATTAAAGTGAACATAAACCTGATCACTGAAGTCTGAGAGGAGATTGAATGTGTCATTGTAACCACAAGAGTCGTTTTCATTCATTTTAAATCTAATAGGGTGACAACGCTCTTTCCTAGTTTGGGCACTTCCTGTTATATGATGTCGAAGCTCTGTCCTTATCCAGGAACTTCTTGATATAGGGTGACAACGCTCTGTCCTTATCCAGGAACTTCCTTTTATAGGGTGACGACGCTCGGTCCTTGTTCAGGCACTTCCTGTTATAAGGTGACAACGCTCTTTCCTAGTTCAGGCACTTCCTGTTAGGTGACAATGCTCTGTCCTTGTTCAGGCACTTCATTTTATAAGGTGACAACGCTCTTTCCTAGTTCAGGCACTTCATGTTATAAGGTGACAACGCTCTGTCCTTGTTCAGGCACTTCCTGTTATAGGGTGATGACGCTCTGTCCTTGTTCAGGCACTTCCTGTTATAGGGTGATGACGCTCTGTCCTTGTTCAGGCACTTCCTGTTATAGGGTGATGACGCTCTGTCCTTGTTCAGGCACTTCCTGTTATAGGGTGATGACGCTCTGTCCTTGTTCAGGCACTTCCTGTTATAGGGTGATGACGCTCTGTCCTTGTTCAGGCACTTCCTGTTATAGGGTGACCATGCTCTATCACTATCTCCCAATGGTGCTCTTATGTTGTCACTCTGTCACATGGGCTTCCCATGGAGAATACAAGTGACCATTTCATCACATATTACACAGACATGATCCACTGTTGTCACCCGTCCTATGAAATGCCAGGAAGCCATCGCCTGGAGTGTATGTAGACAGCAAAGAGGCTGCGGGAGATCAGCAGCACTGAGATGTAACAAAGGCTTTTATTTCACCTCCCTCTCTGTGTGATACATATAATGTGACCCGTCCGTGGGCTCCGCTGTGTGCTGAGAGAGCGCGCGCAGACTGAGCTGTCATAGATAGGCACCTAAACCGGGCTCCCTATCATGTGACTATCACATGATCAGGCCTCCAACTGATCACGTGACCCAGTTAAAGGACCAGCAGGTTAATTGGCATTAAGTAGGATTTAGTGTACCTGGTGCTCCTGTGTGTGAGATTAGAGTGTGAGCTCCGGGGACACAGACTGCTGTGAATGGCGCCGTGTTATATCTCAGCCTTCCCTTCAGTCTTCTATCTGACCTCCGTCCTTCCCTTCAGTCTTCTATCTGACCTCCGTCCTTCCCTTCAGTCTTCTTTCTGACCTCCGTCCTTCCCTTCCGCCTTCTATCTGACCTCCGTCCTTCCCTTCAGTCTTCTATCTGACCTCCGTCCTTCCCTTCAGTCTTCTATCTGCAAATGTTTTTGTGTCCTGGTAGAAGAGATTTCCCATCACTTCCTGTCCTGACAGGAAGTCAGGGAAATGCTCTATAAAGCAGCCACAGAAGGCCATAAAACCCTGACTGGGGCTCCAATGTTTCTCCTCAGGGGTGTTTTGCGGGGAACCTCTCCCAGATTGTATGGAGGTGGCAGCCATTGTGGATGTTGCTTAAGGGGCGTGGCTTAACATATACCTTTAGGGGGGTATTAAGCATGCTCAAAGTGAAAAAGAAAATGTTGAGCAGACACAGGAAGTTCACTTAGTGAATAAGATCAACAAATGCCGAGACTTATATCCAGTAGGTATGACGTCAACCCCGTGATAGAATGAAGTCACCCTATCAGACCTTGAGGGATGATGGAGTGACGTCATTCTATCAAATCCCTGCGGAGTGATGTCACCCTCCTATTGGGATCCGCGATGGAGTTACGTCACTAGCCAGTCCTCCTGGTTTACACCGGCGAATTCTGAGTAAAGAGGCCCGCCCCCTTTGTGTTCTCCACCAAACTGCGCACGAAGGTCCCGCCCTCTCTCTCTGATTGGCAGTAGTGCGGGATGGATTGCGCACTGCGCCCAATCGGGAGCGGTGGGCCGAGCGAGTTCGTTAGGTTGTTGTGTGTTGCTACCATGGAAGTGTAGAGTGTCAGCTCAGCGGACCAGAGCCGGAGTGCAGGTGGGCAGTACAGGGAGCACGCTGGTATCTCCACCCACACACAGGGGCCACAACTGCTATGCCCACCCTCATAAAGGGGCCACACTGCTATCTATACCCTAATAGAGGATATTCTGCCATATGCACGTTTAATCCGGGGGGACAGACTGGAGGGGGCACCATAGAGGGGGGCACAGTTTGGAGGGGACACCATACAGGGGGGCGCAGTCTGAAGGGGACACCATACAAGGGGGCACAGACTGAAGGGGACACCATATGGGGGGGCACAGTCTAGAGGGGACACCATACAGGGGGGAGAAGTCTGGAGGGGACACCATACAGGGGGGCGCAGTCTGGAGGGGACACCATACAGGGGGGCGCAGTCTGGAGGGGACACCATACAGGGGGGCGCAGTCTGGAGGGGACACCATACAGGGGGGCGCAGTCTGGAGGGGAGACCATACAGGGGGGCGCAGTCTGGAGGGGACACCATACATGGGGGCGCAGTCTGGAGGGGACACTGTACAGGGGGGCACAGACTGAAGGGGACACCATACTCGGGGCACAGACTAGAGGGGACACCATATGGGGGGCACAGATGGAAGGGACACCATACAGGGGGTGTGCAGACTGGAGGGGGACCATACAGAGGTGCGCAGACTGGGGCGGACACTGTATAGGGGGGCGCAGACTGTAGGGGACACCAATCTGTATGGTTCCCCCCCCCCCTATCTGTGCCCCACTGTATGGTGTCCCCTCCAGTCTCTGCTGCACTGTATGGTGTCCCCCGCAAAGATTGTTTTTGGGGGGCACTGAACTTCTGGACTGTCGCCTTCACCCTCATATGACACTAATTGACCAATGAAGATGATATAGATTTGTATAATCTTTTTCCTGCCTGTGTTCCTGTCGGAGATTTTCCATCACTTCCTGTCTGACCCGCGGCGTTGTCACCAGGACAGGAAGTCAGGGTAGATCTCTCAGTATTGCCCTCATCTGCTGGATCTAGAATGAAAGGAAAAGATTTGTCTGGAGCTGCAATAGACGCACATCAGAGGTCATGTGACCTGTGACGCAGAAGACTTCACAGCGATGGAGCGGAGTGCTCAGACAACTTCCCATTGGCCCCCCTGTGATGACATCAGCATGTGAACAGCCAATCCGCAGGGGGCATTTCAATTGACCATTCACCCATTCACACCCCTGGCAGAGGGGACACAATGGGGGCTCACAAGTGGAGATTTTGGCATTGATGAGGCTCAGAGACCTTTAACCCCCCTCCCCTCCTCCGGCATGCAGCTTTAACCCCTCCCCCTCCAAAACAAAAAATGTCACCTCTCCAATATCTGACACTATTTACTAAGCTTTGTCTGCACGCCGATGTCTTGCGTGTGGCCCGTTTGTATCTGTGCGTTGCAGGAACATGCGACAACTCGCGATACGTGTGTTGCGGTGTCGTTCATTTTAAATGACATCTCAACGCATTACGGCAACGCACCACAGCGCCGTGTGTTCAATATGTTGCAGCTCGTCCCATTGTCGGGATGTTTTGGTGCGCTGGAGGCTCGTTTATTTCAGTGGCCGGCCATAATGCAACGTAAGAGGGCAACCTCAGCACTTCATCTGTGATGAAACTACAAATCCCAACATACCTCTGCCACTGGGAGTCATGTCTATGGCATCTTAGTGCTTCTGATCTCCCGTAGCCTCTGTCAGCCACTTCCTGTCTACTCCAGCACTGGCTGCCCTTCATTGCTCTGGACCACTCACTGCTGCTGCTCTCTCCTTGTGCAGGGTGACTGGTCTTGTCTCCGCCCCTCCTGTAATAAAGACCGCTCACTGCTGCTCTCTCTCCTTGTGCAGGGTGACTGGTCTTGTCTCCGCCCCTCCTGTAATAAAGACCGCTCACTGCTGCTCTCTCTCCTTGTGCAGGGTGACTGGTCTTGTCTCCGCCCCTCCTGTAATAAAGACCGCTCACTGCTGCTCTCTCTCCTTGTGCAGGGTGACTGGTCTTGTCTCCGCCCCTCCTGTAATAAAGACCGCTCACTGCTGCTCTCTCTCCTTGTGCAGGGTGACTGGTCTTGTCTCCGCCCCTCCTGTAATAAAGACCGCTCACTGCTGCTCTCTCTCCTTGTGCAGGGTGACTGGTCTTGTCTCCGCCCCTCCTGTAATAAAGACCGCTCACTGCTGCTCTCTCTCCTTGTGCAGGGTGACTGGTCTTGTCTCCGCCCCTCCTGTAATAAAGACCGCTCACTGCTGCTCTCTCTCCTTGTGCAGGGTGACTGGTCTTGTCTCCGCCCCCTCCTGTAATAAAGACCGGTCACTGCTGCTCTCTCTCCTTGTGCAGGGAGACTGGTCTTGTCTCCGTCCCCTCCTGTAACAAAGACCGGTCACTGCTGCTCTCTCTTCTTGTGCAAGGTGTCTGGTCTTGTTTCCGTCCCCTCCTGTAACAAAGACCGGTCACTGCTGCTCTCTCTCCTTGTGCAAGGTGACTTGTATACAGAATGACACGAAGGTCTCATTTCTGCAGCTTCATCCGTTCCTCCCGTATAGAATTATAACTGGCAGCATGTTTGTTTCAGATGGTTTGTATGGCGGCTCCATATACCGTGGTGCTGTACACATTTGGGAAGCGAGGGGGGGGTATGGTGGTGATAACACATGATGGCGATGAAACGGTTTGTCTTTAAATCCGTTCTCTCTGTTTTTCCCGGCAGGTGACCATGCAGAGCTCCCTCGGGGCGCCCGTCCAGCAGGGCGGTGGAGATAACAGCGGCTTGGCCCTCACCGGCTCGCAGGTCTCCGTCACCAAACGCCCGAGCAGCGCCGGCAGCGCCAAGCTCATCTCGCGCTCCATCTCCGTCGTCACAGACACCAGGAGCAAAGGCAACTCATTGGTGAGATATACAGGGGCCCTAATTCCCACATGGGGCCCGACATCCCCGCAGTGCGCCCGTCAGGCTGGCAGCACCCCTCCCCCCGCAGCCTTTATAAGGCAAAGTGACGCCAAATTCGTCTTTTATTGTCCTGACTTCCTGTCTTAGGATGACAACGCTGCTCCTTGTGTGTGCAGAATAGAAAGCGAGCGTTGTCACCCTGGGACAGGAAGTGCATGACTGGCAGGATCAGCGGCCCTATGTCGGTGCCTTCTAAGCCAGGTGTGGGCAACTCCGACTTTCCAGCTGTTGTGGAACTACAAGTCCCATGAGGCATTGCAAGACTGACGGTTACAGGCCTGACTCCCAGAGGCATGTTGGGGTTTGTAGTTAAAGCACAGCTTGGGGGACGGATTGGCCCGTCCCTGCTCTAAGCTATAGGACTGACTCCTGGGCCTTCTCTAATAGCGTTTTTCGGTAATGCCCCTCAGCGATCCACCAGCCATGGAAATGGCGGGTGGAGCGTTGAAGTGAAAGGTTTGCTGTGTGATACTAAAAGATGTTCTTAAAGGAGAACTCCGGGAATTTAAAAAACGTACCCTTGCAGTGGGGCTACCCCCGACATTGGAAGGGTTAAGTGCTGGTTCTGCTAGGGCAGGGATGTCCAAACTCCGGCCCTCCAGCTGTGGTGGAAAGTCCATGAGGCTTTGCAAGATTCTCACAGTCACAGACATGACTCTCGCAGAGAGATGCTTCATGGGATTTGTAGTTTCACCCCCAGCTGGAGGGCCGGAGTTTGGACATCCCTGTGCTAGGGGGATCGAATAAAGCAGATATATTCACCTGATCCTCAGGTCCCACCTGGATGCTAGACCGGTCCCCGCAGCCTCTTCTCCCCTGGGCTCTGGCAGTCTAAGGACCTCTGATGTCATCACGTCTAATGTTGGTCCATTGACTTGCATGGGACACGAGGGCACCGAAGGATACACCGCAGCTGGGGAGGAGGGGGAGAGAGGTGAGCGCTGACCGCCGCTGGCCTGAAGATCGGGTGGGTGTATCTGCATTATTTGGGGTGTCGGAGGCACTGCATGGGTACTCTTTAAAAATCCCGGAGTTCTTCTTTAAAGGGGACCAGCCAAAACTGAGTTCAGGAATCCTCCCCCTGCTCCTCCTCCAAGTTATATGATTGACAGCAGGTGGAGGTGACTTTGTTGTGCTCCCAAACAGAAGCTCAGGGAAAAAAATAAAGCTATTGAGGGGGTAATATAAATCAAGTTTTGTACACATGGCTAGATTTTTTGTTGTTGTTGTTGTTGCTTGTCCCATCGGGGAGATTTTTCCTCACTTCCTGTCCCAGAGACACAGCAGGAAGTGAGAGGAAATCTCCCATGCAGTGTTTGGAATTATATCGCAATCTAATATAGTGATATGGAATGACAATGTGATATAATTATACGGCAGTGTCCCCTCCTATACAGCGCTCACCAGGACAGGCGTCCACCAGTGACCCAGGCGGCCGCTATGGAGCCCGGGGCACAGGGGGGGGCGGCCAGGACATTCCTGATGCCCTGCGGGCCACCTGGGTCGCTATGGCGTCTTACGCTGCTGGCTGACACTGGCGGCTGTGAAAAGAAATGGACCGCTGTTCGCATCACTGACAGTTCCTTTCCACAGCCGCTGCTGAGTCAGTGAGAGCCAGCAGCGGCAGTGGAGCGGCATTGGAGCAGGCTGGACCCAGCAGTGGAGGAGGAGGCAGGGCCTGGGGGTTAGCATCAGAGAAGGCGGAGCCCGGTGAGGGGGCGGGCCCGGCAACAGGTGGAGGAGGCGGGGCTCATTACCGACTGTGGAGGAAGAGGAGGCGGACAGGTAAGGAGTGTGACCAGCCCACCTGAGGGTGACCCTGCAAAGCCCACCTTAGAGAGTTTATGGTGGGCTCTGCAGGGTCACCCTCAGTTGGGCTGTGTGGGATCTCAATGGGGCTCTGCAAGGGGTGTAACTAGAGATCAAAGGGGCCCCATAAAAATTTTGCTATGGGGCCCTGTGATTTCTAGTTACGCCCCTGGCGTCCACGTTTTCTTTCTACTCTTGTTCTCGTGGCAACTGTAACATTTTGGATTTCCTGTCACTTCCTGTCCCTGTGACAACGGTCTCCAGGACCAATAGAGAGGGTGAATCTCCCCGTTGGGGACACGGACAGTCACGTTCTCACATTTTCATCCATAACTAAAAATAAAAATTTGGGGTTTTAGATTTAAAATTCAATTTAAGAACCAATCAGAACCTTTCATTGTCGGCTTCCAAATTGGAGCTGAGTGCCCAGATCATTAGGTCCAGGTGTCCATCAGAACCTCCCAGTCCTGACCGAAAATATTTGCTCAGCATTCATTGCATGTTCAGGCGTTTTGTGGTGCGGGCCCCTAGGGGCCCGTCAGAACTGTAGCTGTGCATTTTTATTTCCTTTTTAATGCCCGATTTAAAATGTAATAAAGGAAACCCGCCAACAAGGGGTTAATGTTGTGCTACAAACTGATCCGATTGTATTCCGTATCACCCGATCGCTTCCCTTGACCTTTTCCGATCCGTGTCTCCTGTACAGAAGGACTCGCCGGGGGCGATCAATAACCTTCGCCGATCCAACAGCACCACTCAGGTGACACCCGGGAACAGCTCTCTGTTCAGGTAATGCGACGAGACGCGGGCAGAGCGAGAGACGCGGCGCCGCGCCGCCAAGTACTAATGTAGGACGTGTACGAAAGATCCGTGCCACAGGGGCACGCCGGCCTTTTCCTGTTGGCAGAGACGCCCTCGCGCTGGAGTGCCGAGACTCGGGCCGGGGACAGGGAGAAGGTGGCCGGCAGCCTTTTCATATTCTGACCTTTGTGATTCCAGCTGCCGCTCCCTGGGGGGAATAATAGAAGAGCGATGAGGAGGAGGGGGGCTGCGTGGCCGTTCATCTTCTCCGGAATGTGGCAGATGTTCCTCTAGGGGGGAGGGAGGGGGGCGCAGGCTGTTTGTCAGGCCCTCTGGGTTATCTCCTTTTACCTTGTAGGGTGCTTCTAATGCTGTGCTAGAAAGAGCCATGAGGAGGGGGTTGGGGTTTGGGCCTCCCCCCTTCCCCCATTGTCCTATTTAGATGCATAGGGAACTGATCCTAAGACTACCTGTGGCTTGCTGGGGCATTGAAGTCTGGGGACGGGCAAGCTGGGACCTGCAGTCCTATGACAAAAAGAGCCGTCCAATGCCTAAACCCTAAATGGATGGCGGTGCTCGTATACGGTGATCGTGTTTCCTCTATCAGCCATTGAAGGACATACAGCAGCTTGATGGTATTAAAGGAGAACTATGGGGTAAGTGGTTTTCCCCATAGTTCTCCTAAGGGTCGCGGGAGGACACAAACTAGCGTCCTCCCGTGACCCATAGCTCAGTATACCGCGAGCTACAGCTCATAGTATACTGAGACGCCGCAGCCGGGACGGATCCCGACATTACTGTCGAGATGCACCCAGCTGCGTGATTGACAGCGGGCTCTGCCTATCTAGAGGCAGAGACCGCTGTGCCCTCCCACGTCCGTTCCCCCAGTCAGCGCTGGGGAATCGGAGAGGGGGGGGGGGGGAATCCCTGCAGGGAGCTCTGCAGGGACAAAGATCGAGAAGTGAGCGAACGCCGGTATGTGTTCTCTCACTTCCCGATCTATTGAGCCGACCTGTGACAGTTTCATTGTCGCAGGTCGGCTCGAACTATGAGGATGAGTGAAAATCACTCTCCTCATAGTTCTCCTTTAAGCATATTGGGGCTTCATTGATGCAGCCAGCAATCAGAACAGGCACTGAAGGTGCCCCAAGAGTCTTCACCATCTCAACACCACATCTCTGCCATGTGAAGCACTTGGTGCCGTCATCTTGGACTGTTGTGAGATGACGGCATCTGACAGCACAGCATGGGTGGAGATGGATGATGGGGGGGAGACAAGCCACAGCTCATGACAGTGTCACACTGTAAAGTATTGAGTTCAGTTACTTTGTGACTGGTTCTCTTTAGTAGATGGACTCCATTGTTTTCTTGCTCCATCAAATTCTTTCTCTTTGCAGTGGGGACCAGCCGGAGGATTTTCTGGCCTTTTTCGAGAGCAGCTCCATTGGCAGAAAGAAGCTCCATGGACTGGCCAAAACCCCTCCGGGGAGGAAGACCACCTGGAACGTTCTTGTAAGTTACTATAGTCAGCGATTTGTGAACAAGACGCCCCGGGGTAACTGGCTTGTTTGGTGGTAATTGATTCTACATTCTGAGGCTGCCAATGAAGACAAATCAACCAATGACGATCTCTTCATAAAAGTTACAAATCTTCAAATAAAGCATTAAGTCCCCCCCCTCCCCTCCCCCCCACTATAGAGTAACAGGGCTAATGGGGGGTCATAAGGCCGTTCCATGACTTGGACCCCGGTGCTCTCATCTTCTGTGTCTATTTGGTAGCAATCTCAAAATACTTGTAGTTCTGGAACACTTGTTACGTATTCTCTCTCCCCCCTCTCTTCTCCTCACCCTCTCTCTCTTCCTCTCTCTCTCTGTATACCCTCTCTCTCTCTGTATACCCTCTCTCTC